ATTTGGACATGTCATGATGTGGACACTTCCTAAGCAATTCATTGAAGCGTTTCCATGCCTCATGAAATATTTCTCCATCCCCATGTGAAAATTCTCGAATTGAGGTTCTCATGGCATTGGTCTTAGAAACCAGATAGTACTTCTTTAAAAACTCTTGTTGCATTTCCGCCCAAGAAGTGATTGAAAAAGGCCTAAGATTGTTAAACCAATACTTTGCTTTGTCCTTTAAGGTGAATGGAAAAAGTTTGAGTCTTAAGACCTCTTCCGACATGTCCGTATATTTTACGGTGGAACATACTTTAAGAAACTCATCCAAATGCTTGTAAGGTTCTTCACTAGGAAGTCCATGAAAGTTAGTAAGCATTTGAATAGTTTGTGCTTTAATTTCATAATGATGTGCTCTAAATGGTGGTAATTGAATGCATGTTGGTGCATTGAATTCATTAGGCACATAGTGATCTCTTAAAGGAAGAGGTGGATTAGCTACTTGAGGTGCAACATGAACACCTTGGTTATGAATTCCTTGATTAATGACGGGAGGTTGTGGAGCATACATTGGCCTTGGCATTCTATTCGGAACTTGGTCTTGTTGTTGTGGTAGTTGGTAAATGAATGGCCTAGGCATGCCTAATGGTACTTGTATGTTGTCATTGTGCATATTGGGATGAAGGATACCTTGTTGGTCTATGTGACCAATGTCCTCAACATGGTCATCATTATGGTCATCCATTGAAAGATTGGCTCTATTTGAACTTCCTCTTCCCCTAGGATTTCTAACGATAGATTCAAGATGCAAATCAAGATGGGCAAGAGTTGGTCTCAATGAACAACGTCCATGCATGCACAATACAAAACACAACAAGCACAAAGAATGACAAATATTATGCCTTCACAACAATGCAATTAGACTTCTTGCACAAACATTAAATTCATACTCCCATACTTTAACTCAATGATGCAAGTCAATAAAAAATAAGCCTCAACGCGGGTCGACGATTTAACTAAGGGATTGAGTAAAGAAAATCTCACAAAGGTCCTTTAGCACTTCAACTCCAAATTTTAAAGCTTAGCTTAGCTAAAAATATATATATATTTTTAAGTTTTTAGTATTTTTCCATTCTTTGCTTGCTTAAATTGAATGTTCAATGGCTACTTTGCTTACTTCCTCTCCAATAATGCACCTAGTTAAGTAAGAACAACACAATAAGTAACCAAAAAGAAAAATAAAAATAAAGTAAAAACACGATCAAAAGAGTACTAATCCTAATCAATTCCACAAATCTGACGTTGCCAAATCTAATCAACAAATCCCCGGCAACGGCGCCAAAATTTTGACGAGGGGCCGCTCGTGAACGCCAAAATTTATGTAGTGAATGTGCGGTTCAAGAAAAGCCTTTTTGGGCCAAGTTTAAATTTATAAAACCACTACCAACACTACTACTAATGTAGTAAGAGTGAGTAGGGATCGTCTTAAGGGATCGTGGGGATTGAGCAATGTCAGAGTTGATTGTGGAATCACAATTAGGGCTAGTAGGTCAAGTACTCAAACAATTGGTTGGTTGGTTGATTAAAGAGCAACTAAAGTAAACTAAGTAATAGCAAAAGAGTGTAATTAAGAGTCAGTAAGAGAGAGAAGAGTCATGGGGTTTAGAGATCACCCCCAAGCAATGCATTTCTATATTATTGACAAGTGATTAATGAGGGCAATTAGGGTGTTGCAATATTGGTGTATGTGTATTTGGTTGATTCAATAAGCAAGGATGACTAGTTAAGTATGTATTGTCTAAACATCATGTAAAAGGCACAATATATCTAAGCAATGAAGCATATATTGTCTAACCAACATGTGAAAGGCACAATAAATCAAAACAAGTCATTAATCCTTTCATTAGGCTCACAATCCAAATACAACACAAGATTAGAGACATATGCTAATTGCATTCAAAAGCTTGGATCATCAAACAACAAGTATAGATTGTCCTCCCATTTAACACTACACTACAACTACACTACAACTACACTACTAGCATGAAAATAAACTAGGGGAGAGGCACAATCCATCAAGAGATAAGCATGAACCATCAAGAGAATCACAAAAGCATTCTTTTAAGCACAATGTTTTGACAATCTCTAAATCTATGGCATCAATACACATAGACATGCATCAATAACACAAAATCTAGAGACAAGAACATGATCATCAATTTTAGCATACATAGACATATGAATAGAATGAAATGATCAATTGGAAGCATTAAACCACACAAATCATTGATTAAACAAGATCTATATATATCAAAGTGTCAAAACATTAATTACAAGACTAATCCCTCAATAATTCACAAGATTAAGATGTAGAAAGTATGCTTGGGGCTAACTCTAGCCCCAAGAGGATGTCTAGCCACTCATGGTAAGGATGCTCCAACCCTCAAGGGCTAACTCCATGGAAGAGGTTTGCTCCTTGTTGATGAAGATCTCCAATGGTGTCTCTAGCCTCCTCCTCATTTAAACTCCCTCTCAAAGAGATGATATGAAAAATAATGTTTTCTTTTTTTGAAAAAACAATCCTTATCCTTTTATAGGTAGGTCAAAATGACACCCAAAATGAGCTGGGGTCGTGCACACAACATTCCCTAATGATTGGATAAAGGACAACTTTCAATGAGATGGAATTTTAACTTTTTTGTACTGGAGGAAGTTCGATCGATCAAAAGTAAGTGAGATCGATTGAACTTAGGCTAGATCGATCTAAACGGCTGAGCTTTTTGGAAAAAGACAAATCCGAGATATTTATAGGAAAAGGACAAAAGTGGTTAGTGGGTGGTACAGCTGTGGATAGGGTCAATCATTTGGATAAGGACAAAGGTGTTCGATTGATCGAAGAATGATGTTGGATCAATCGAACTTTTGGACTTAAGTGCTTTGGGTTAAGGCTTGGATCTATCTTGAAGTGCTGAGATCGATTAATGTTCGATTCGTACCTTGGTCCTGGATCGATCGAACTTGCTGCTTTGCTTCATTTTGCTTCTTTCTTTCTCCACTGTGCTCCTTTCTTTGTTTAATCTCAAAATTGCTTCAATTAAGCTCTTATTTGGTTGAGTTAGCTTATTTTTCGGATAAGTGCCTGAAAATGAAAATAATACAAAATCAATCTAAAACGGTAAAGTAAGATAGGTAAAGGTACTAGAATGCCTAAGCTTAAGGGGTTTAAATACGCACTTTTCAGTGCTCATCAACATTTATATCAACATCATGCACATAATAAGAGCTAGTGTTATAGTATATTAACTATCTTTCAATGCAACAGAAGTAACCGCATATTTATTCAAGCTTTATAGAAAACAGTTTTACCAAAAGTAATAACATAGTTTTTATAAACCAAAAGATGAAACAAGAATGAGATTACGTATAACATTGGTGCATAAAAATAATTTTATAATACTAAGCTCCTCCCACTCTTAAAAAGCAGATGCACTACTCCCATTGACTTAGGTACATCCATGGTATTGGCTATGTAAATATATTTTCAATCATTAAGACTTCTGGATTCCTGGAATCTTTGCAATGAATTGAAAAACATGTCTAATAGCTCAAGAATCCATACACTAGGTATCGATAGATTCAACTACATAACATGGTTCAACGATGAATATTCATATTCATTTGCCATGTGCTTGCTTAAATAGTTCTTCCTTTAGTGCCTTGGTTGGCCACAAAGGAAATAGTTTCCTTCGCCCTCAATACGCACTTCCTATTTCCCTTAAACCTTTGGATCCCATGTTTTGTGCTAGCCTAATCATATTGCCATTTCTCTTACCCCTCTATTGGGCCTAGAAAAAGATAGCCCAGACTGGGTTAGATTGATAGAAGAGCCCATACTCTAAATTAGTCCTTTATTTATTACCAACTCTTTAATAAACTTAGCGAGTGTGTACTTAAGCTAGTTCATTCTAAAAGAGTTGAATGAGTCCGGTAATAAGACAATAACCATGTCAACTTGAAGTTCACCATCCAAGTTGGCCTCCAATGACCTCCGGTTCATTTAAAAAATAAATAATCATTTTTAAAACATGATCCATAATTGGAGTTCCTTGGGCTATCATAATGATATTTAAGTCCAACATAGTGATAAGGAACGCATTCTATCCAATCTCACTAAAACATCTCCATGAAGTTATTCACGATGCCTGAAGAAATAAGATAATGCTAACACTAGCGTTAGAGCATATTCGAGATAAACTACAAAATGTATCATCAAAGCCATCTCATTCGCCTTATTTCACTTTTTAAGAACATCAATGTCCTCTTGGGGATCTTACGGTAAAAGCGGAATAGGTCTAAGAGTAGTAAGCACATATTTATATCCTTATGTTATGAGTATAATATCCAAGTTCCTTTTTCCAGTCCATATAATTAAGTCCAGTTAACATTGAGTATATATTACAAGCGTATTGTATGGATTAGATATAATTAATCTGAATATAAATACATTTATACAATAAGTAAGATGAATTAATAATACAATCATGCATATCCTATTTATTTAATGCGGGTCCCTCAATCATGTAGCATAGTAAATTGCATAACAAATACGTCTGATGAGGAGTCTTCAGCTAGGAAGTTTGACCGTCACACAAAGCTGTAAATCAGGATAAACTCCACTATCTTGGATAAGGATAAGAATACGTTTTCCCTTCCGTGTTGGAAAAATATAAGGAATACTACTCCTCCTTCAATACAACTTGACACCCCTATAAAGAGGGCTTTCAGGTTAACATCAAAGGTACGACACAAATCCCTAAGAGAGTTTTGAACTTTCTTTCCACCCTCCTAATCTAGCACTGACTTGACCGTCGGAGGCTCTTAGGCCGGTACCACTCCGGTACTCGATCATCTTTCTCTTCCTTTTTCATGTACGACATTACTTCGGGTTGCCGCAGAATCTCGCATCATCAGTTGGCACCATCTGTGGGAAACGATATTAGTTTCCTAGAATAACAATGATGTTGCGATCCGGAGTCCATCTTGGAAAAGGAAGTCAGCACCTCATGCGTCTTGATGGAGGAGGCCACCAAGACCAATCACATGATGGTAGCAGCCACCATCAACCTAATAGCGGAAATCAATTGTATGGTGATGACAGTCACCATCATGAGCATGGTATGAACCAGTCACATCATGATAGTGACCGTCAATTACACCATCACCACAACCAAACTCACCTCGGAGACGACCACCTAAGGGGAAAACATTCCGAGCACGCATCCCATCATGAGAGCGTGTCGAGGCGTGCTCCGGAAGATGGGAAGCGTGTTGCAGCATTAGAACAACATGTTTAGAACCTTAGTCAAGGTATGAACCAACTGGTCCAGCAAAATGCAGCAATCATTCACCACTTAGCTATCCTTGCAGCACCCGTCATGGAAGGTGACGACGATGATGACAGAGTTGGGCATAGCCATGCGGGAGGTAGACGAAGAAACCGTCGTGCTTCAACGGCTCGTTCTCCACGACAGAAGATTTTCGGTGCACAGACACCTCGTCACTGAAAAGATGTCTCCGATGTTGGAGAATGCACCGAAGCTACCCACGTTGATCAGCAGATCCAGGATCTCAAATTGCAAGTAGAAGGGATGGCCCAAGCCTTGAAAGGAAAGGGTCCTGCCACAGTTGATGACCTTATATAAAAGATAAATCTACCTTTCAATCCTTGGGTGATGGCTTTGCCATTGCCAAGGAAGTTTAAGATGCCCCATCTTAAGAGTTTTAATGGAACCTGTGACCCACTTGATCACCTTGAAACTTTCAAGTCACTAATGAACTTACAAGCGGTCCCAGATGAGATCATGTGCAGGGCGTTCCTTACTACCCTCAAAGGGTCAGCCCGTGTCTGGTTTAATAAATTGAAGACGGAATCTATTAGCAATTTTGAAGAGCTTAGTGAGCAGTTCATAGGGCATTTCATTGCAGGAAGACAACACTGAAAGCTGGCTACCTATTTGCTTAATGTTAAGCAAGACAAAGGGGATGCGTTGTGTGATTATATAGGCCGATTTAATACAGAGATGTTGCAAGTCGATGAGGTGGATGACAAGGTTTCTCTTACAGCCTTTATGGGAGGACTACAATCCTCCAAATTCATTTTCTCTTTGTCCAAGGACCCACCAAACACGATGGCAAATTATTCATTAAGGCCCAAAAACATATGAATGCAGAAGATGCTATGAATTCCAGGAAGGGCAAAGGAAACGACGAAAAAAAATGAGATAAGAAGAGGTCAGCCCCTGTCTTGAAAGACGAAAGAGACTCCAAGTTCAGGAAGTCTGATAGGGTCCCCGAGTGTAATGACCCGGATTTTCACAGATATATATATATTTTTTTCCATTGTCTTTCTTTTCTGAGTTCAGTTCCTCTTCGCTTAGTGTCGTCTCGAGTGCTCTGGAGTGATTTTTGAGACTCTTTTCTGTGGATTGACAACTTCCTTTGAGGACCGAGTCGTTTCCACATTTTTCATTTTTTGACACTATTCACTTTTCGTCCTTTTCCCTATTTCGTCCTTTTCCTTATTTTGTCTTTTCCCTGTTTGACACTTTGTTGGCGTAACCACACTTCTTGTGTTCAAAGTTTGTTTTTGACTTCATGTATCTCCATCTTGAGTGGTTTCCATGAAATACGTATCTTTACTTTTGCAAGAAAGTACTCTGGTTGCTCCCTGTGTCCATAGGGGCATGGATGCAAAGTTCTTTGAAATTATTTTCTTCTCTTGGGGTATTTTTTGTAAATATCTTTTGAAGATATTTTATTTCAGGGGTTTTTAAGAAAATATTTTTGGAAGATATTTTCATTCTGGGCCATTAGTGCAGTTTTCACTTTTTGGAGGGGCCATTGTACAATTAATGAAAGTTATTGCTAAATGCCTTGTTTCGAGCCTGGATCCTCGTACGGGATTCATTTTCACTTTTCGTTGAGTCGTGTACTCTTAGAAATTCCTTCTGATCATTGTTTTCCAGTTTCAGGGTTTCTGGCCCTAGTTAGCGCCAAACTTGTTTGGGGCATAACTTTCTGTTCGGGACTCAGTTTTCTACGCTGTTTCTTCTGTTGTTCATATTTTCTCATTTTGAATCTTTTTTGTTCATAGAGTTTTTTCATTTGAGCGCGTCTGCTTAAATTTTACTTTTTCGGACCTGGCGGGGCCCGTTTGGGGCACTTTTTGAGATTTCTATAAAAGTGGGGTGAGATATTTTATTTTTTCATCTTCCCCACTCTCTTGCACGACCTGAAGCTTCCATGGCAGCCCAAGGGAGGTTTCCACCTTCTCTCTTCTCTTTTAAGCTTCATTCCTTCGTCAGAACATAGAAGGGTCTTTGCGTTTAGTGTTCCTGTTGACTACGCGCTTCTTTCACCCTTATTAGAACCCATTTCTGACCATTCTTTGAGTTTGGGTTTGAAGTCAAGTTGTGATTTTGATGGGGCTTCCTTGGGGGTTATGTGCACGGTGTAGTCCCCGACAAAACCTAGAAGTTTCGTTAGATTCGGAGCGGTTTCCATTTGGTGGCTTTTGAGATTTTCATCTCAAATTTAGGTAGGGGATGTTCTAGGCTTTTGTGTGTGTTGTATTGAGTGTTTAGCATGATTATACAACTTAATTGCATGCCTTGTATCGATTCTAGAAAATTAGTATTAATTATTTCTTTGTATGAAATTTAATTCACAAGGATGTGTATAACTTAGAATGGAATTGTGGCATGCTAGAAAATTATATTTTAATATGTTTGTTAACATATATTAAATTGGGATTAATTGAATAAGAATTGCATATTTTATTTAAGATTTATCTTTTGTGAAAGATTAAATCCCATGGCCGTACCTAGCATAAAATTGACTTGTGATATGCTTTTAAAGTATGTCTTGGCATGTTGTTTAACATACTTTAATTTGAGAGCATTTGGACAAGTATGAAAATCTAGAGATTTTAATTAAAATGATTAATTAAAATGGATGTTAAGGGTTCCATTGGCCTAATTAAGTGTTTAACTTGATATTTGTGATAACTATGACTTATGTTCTAGCATATGTTAATTTGGAACCATTTGATGTTGTTTTAGAAGTTAGGGATTTGATTATCATGATTTAATTAAATTTCATTTTATTGTTCTTATGGCCTAATCGAGTTTTGATGTGGTGTATGTAATGACCATACTATATTATTTATCATGCATTTGTAATACCCCTAATTTTTAGAAGGATAGTTTTGGAATTTATTTAATTGCATTTTTAAGTTTAATTGATTTACTTTATTTAATTAGGGATTTACTTTAAGTTAATTGTTCTATTTTCTCTAATGGTTTTAATTTACTTCTTTGCTTATGATAATTTGGCTTAATTTACTTCTTTGTTTATGTTACTTTGAATTTATGACATTTAATATAAATGAGGAATTAATGTGGTGTAATTAAATTGTTTTAAGTTAAATTAAATTTAAATTGGTTTTCACGTGAATATAGTTTCACGGGGTTTATAGTTTGCATTGACAGCCGACAGTGTATAACCTAGGTTTGCTTATGGGCTGTATTATACATGGATTAGGGTTTAAAGTTTAAGTTTATAAATAGGCTCATTACAGTGGTTTAGGGTTTAGAGAAACAATTAAACAAAAACGTAAGGAGGCATAGAGGGACAGAGAAAGAAAGAGCAAACAGAGAGGTTACCGGAGAACTTGTGAAGAACCGTCGGTGTAAGGCAAGTTCTATAACTAACTCTATCTCTTTGACCTGTGTTCTTTGCATCCCTAATACAGTCTCAGGATGAAATAAAGATTAAATTAAATTGCTTTACACGTAAATTGCTTCATAAAAGTATGTTTCCTGTATGTGTGTTTTGTTCGTTTTTAAATTGTTTGTGTTTAATTCTTATTTCAAATTGAATTTAATTAATGAATAATGAATTGAAATTACTCGGGAGCATCTTGGGTTTTAGTTTTAAACTGGAAAGAAAGTGGGTTTGAAAGATTAAACAAATTTGAACAGTATGTGTTCTTGTAGGGGTTTTAATCCACTGAGAAACGGTTTTGCGAAATTCTTGTTTCATATGGTTTTGAATAATAAGTAATGAACTTAAACAACTTTAGAGCCCTTTGGGACTTAGTTTTAATCCATAGGAAACGTGGGTTGGAGGAACCAAGTTGCCGGAGTTGGAGAAGAAGTTGAACAGTATGTTTTCTTTTAGGTACATGTTAAGCGTTTTTAAATTATTCTGTTTAATTCTTGTTTCCACTGAATGTGATTCTTAATCAAGGAAGTTAATTAACTTTTGAACACCCAAGGACTTAATTTTAATCAGCAAGAAATTTGGTTTGGAGGATCAACACAGCCGGACATCGCCGGGATTGGAAAAACGACGCACAGGGGAAGGAGCCTGCTCTATTTCAAGTAGAGCAGGCTCAACTAAAAAGTGGAGCAGGCTCTACTTTGTAGTAGAGCCGGCTCTACTTGGTAGTGGAGGCGGCTCCACTTTGTGTGCAGGCTGCTCCTTCAACGATTTTCAGTTTTTGGCCTTTTCAGTGGGGGTTTTGGCTACGGGTTTCAGAATTTGGTGTTTTCAGATGCTATTAGGAACTATGCAGGGATGTTCTAGTAGCATCTAAGTCCTATTAAAATTTTGAGGGTGTGTTAATACATAATAAATTACAAAGAGGTCGGTAGTTTTAAACCGTTGTATTTTCAAGTGAACTTGTGGACTGTTTTGGAGGCAGAGGATTTTAAGTGCATAACCCTATGAGTTGCAATTTTGTCTGGGAATGAGAATATTGTTTAATCATGTTTCTGTGATTTAAATTAAGCATATTAGATTACAGAATGATTATAATCGGAATAAGTGTCAGTAAGTCACTTTTAAGGAAGTTTACATGGTTAAGATTTTGCAGACGATTCAAGTTGTTAAATTCTAAGTTAGCAATTGAATTAGGGGTTTATGGTTAAATCATGTAACAATGGTATGGGTTTAAACAGGTCAGTTTATATAAATTCTGTTATCATATAATCAGAAGTTAGTTGATGTTTACAAAGAGTTCTTTATATCAACTTATTGGATGTTGTGGTGGAGTTGGTATCAATAAGCATGTTAATTCTGTTATTATTATTATGCTTGTTGTGAGTTACAGGGTGATTATATTTATTCTCTGCATTTAAAACTTGTTAGAGAATCAGGTACTGGATGTATTGAACAAGCATGCTAGTTAAACATTCTTGTTAAGCTTGTGATTGGATATGTTGATATTGATATGCTATGCCATTATATGTATATATTCAATACTGGATGGATGGTTTGTATGCACCGGTAT